TCTTCTCTGCTCACTGCTCTCTTATTTCATTTCATGTAAGATGAAAGATGTTGCAGCCACACCCCCAAGGGAACATTATTTCAATTGATTGACTGTTCAGATCGCATAATGAAAGGAATTGCTTTATATTAGGTCTCATTATAGAAATGATTACATTATATTAGATCTCATCATGGAGAATGACTACATCTTAGCTGCCAAACCACCGAAAATCCAGGCCCAGTCAAGCTGACACAAAACCTTAATCATTACACACAGCTTCCAGCATCATAGCCACCACAGTATGACAATAACAGATGACTGATATTGCGCTACTCTAGTTTCTGTGAAACCTTCCCAAATAGTCCAAACAACTAAACTCACTGCCACTGAGTCAATTCCAATTCATTGAAACGCTATATAGAGTTTCTGAAATACATCCTTTGAAAATGCTGATTGTTTAGGCTGGACAATGTTGTCCCTGTATTTTCTACTAAATTTTTTTTTTGGTTTTAGTTTACACATTTAGGTCCTTAATCCTTTCAGAATTATCATTATTATCATTATTTTATCATGTGAGGCCTGAATTTGGTTTCATTTTTCAGCTTGTGGTAATCCAGTTTTCCCAACACAGTATCTTGAGGACACTCTTGTTTCTCCATTGAATCAAATTAGTTACAAGGCCGCTACCCTTGTGAAAACTAATTTGCCAAAAGATGTGTGAATTTATTTCTGGTCTATGAGTTCTCACAGTGTTCTACTTGTCTATTATTATACCAGTACCAGGCTATTTTGATTACTGTAGATGTATAATATGTTTCAAAATCAGGGAGTGTGAGTCCTAGTTTTTTTGTTTGTTTTTTTTAAAACATTGTTTAGAATTCAGTACCTTTTCTCATTTCACATAATACTAAGGATGTTTTTTTCCCCATTTCTATAGACTACTGTTGGAATTTTGACTGGAATTACATTGAATCTATAAGTCACGTTTGGAAGTATTGGCATCTTAACACACTTCCATTTTTACACTTACTTAAATTGTATCTAAAGTCTTTAAGGAGTGCTTTATAATTTTCACTATATAAGCCCTACACGTGCCTGGTTTAGTTTATTCTTTTCCTTATTTTGGATGCTATTTTAAGAGAAATATTCTCCTAATTTCCCTTTCAGATTTCTCATTACCTGTGTGGAAACCCAACAACTTTTTCTTGTTGGACTTGTAGTATGCAACTTTTATAAATTCTATGAGCTCTAGAAATTTCCTTTCATACTCTTGAATTTTCTACATATAGGATCATGTTAGAGATAATTTTGATTCTTATTCAATCAGATATCTCATTTCTCTTTCTTGTCATATTGTTCTGGTTAGAACTTCCAATATTGAATGGATGACAATGAATAGAAGTGCTGACAATGGGCACCCCTGTCTTGATCCCAAATTCAAGGAGGAAAGAACAAACAGAAAAATATAAATAAATAGGACCTCATAAAAACAAAAAAAATAGTTTGTCAAAAAATGTGACCTAAAATGTGAAAAGACAAGCTATTGACTGGGTGGCTATCCTTGGAAACTATATATTCTATAAGAATCAAGTAACAAATATATGTACAAAATGTCAAGAAAATGCAAATAAATTGGTAAAGGATGTCTATAGACATTTCATCAAAGAGGACATCTGAATAGCCACGAAACATATGAAAAGATAGATGTTCAAGGTCATTAGCCATCTGAGAAATGCAAACCAAACTTTAAAAGATACTATTTCACTCCCACTAAAATGACTAAGTTTTTTTTTTTAAATAATAAATGTTGATAAGAATATGGGAAATTGGAACCCTTACCCATTGGTGATAGGAATACAAAATTATATAGCCATTATGGAAAATATGTGGTGTTCCTTCAAAAAAAACTAAAGACTATACTACTGTTGGTGTTTTTTGTTTTGTTAAGAGCCATACTTGCCCAGCAATTCTACCCCTAAGTACATACTGGAAAGACTTAAAAGCAGAGACTAAAATAAAGACTTTTACATCAGTGTTTATTGTAACACTATTCTAAAAATCCCAAAGGTGACAGACTAAATGTCTATCAACAGATAAACAAAATGCGGTACATACATACAATTAATTACCATTCAGGCAGTGGAAGAAATGAAGTCTTGATGCATACTGTAATATGGATGGAGTTTGAAGATATTATGCTGAGTGAAATAAGGCAAAAGGACAAATATCGTATGGACTTACTTATATAAAAAATCAAGAAAGGTAAATGCATAAAGAACAAAATTTATTAGTGATTAACAGGGATAGATAAAAGGGAGAAATAAGAAGTTAACAGTGATAGAAAAGTTGCACTCAGTCCTAACCATAACCCTAAGTCTAAATGAAGTCCTAGGCCTAGTCAAGATCTAGCCATCATTCTCACCCTAACTCTCAACACCTTACTCCTACTTCCCCTCCCACCAAAAGTAGGTCTGTACATCTGATTATTGTCAGTGTTGTCAATAAGTTTGTACACCTGTATAAATGTGAATTCGCCAAAGTTGTATGGTGGGTTATAAAAATAAAAATAATAGTAAAAGAACAGTTGCAGAGCCTGCTTATATACAATCTAAAACCTGGATTTGGTTCCCTGATTTGGAGATTTGGGTCATGGTTTAACATAACATCCAAATATATTAGTCTGATAATGTTTTTAACTGTTTTTGTTCTACCTCCTAGTTTGTTGTGTAGAGTCTGGGGTCTTAACAGCTTGTAAATGGCCATCCAAGGCATAGAAGTTGGTTTCTATTCACCTGCAACAACAGAGGAAGGAGTGTTAGGAATAAGAGGGGGATATGGGATGTGTGACTAATTGCTTCCATGAGCAACTGCTTTCTTGGCTATGAGACTAAAAGAAGTGGATGGTGCCTGGTTACCATTTCTGAACATTTTGATCAGAGGTTCTATAGTAGAATCCTAATCAAAAGGTAGAAAATGTAGAACAGAATTTCAAAACCTCATGGATTCCAGATTTTCTAGAACCATGAGAAGTAGATAAATAACTAAAATTATTGCCCTGGGATAATCTTTTAAACTTGAACCAAAAATATCCCCCTTGTCTTCTTGTAGCCAAATAACAGTTTAACGTAACTAGTAAAAAAAAAAAGTTTGCCTTGAGTATTATGCTCTTTTAAAACATCTATATGGGAAGAACATGACAAAATCAATTTGATATATTAAATGGGAACCTTAGTGGCTGTGTGTGGTGCTGGGGGATAAGCACTAGGCTACTAACAATAAGGCCAGAGGTTCAAATCCACCAGTTGCTCTCAGAAACCCTATACAGGTGTGCTGAGTTAGAATGGACTCAATGACACACAACAACAACAACAGGGGCAGTGAGTTTATGTTAATGGGGAAGGGACAACTAAGAAGGGAATGATTGTACAACTCAATATAATCAATATCACTGAATTGTTCACTGTATGTGCAAAAATGGTTGAATTGGTATATATTTTGCTGTGTATATTCTCAACAACAAAATATTTTTTTTTAATGTTAGTTGCAAGAACAGTTGGAAAGATATTCACATATAAAGCCAGTAAAAGAAACAGTCATCACAATTTCCAGCTGGCAAAAAAGAATACCGAGACACAATGAAAGAATAAAAACTTGGTATAATCAAAGTTTGCCACAGCATGAGGGGTTCAAATATTCCACAGGCATGATCTCAGACCAGAGCTTGTCTCTATGAACTGATCACCTCCTCATCTCATTATATCTCTCTTACTGGTCAGAGCATGTATAACTATGCTCTATAAGTTATTGTTGCCTTTCTCACCACTAACTTTCTCTTATTTCTTCCAGGTTGGATTTCTTCCTTCGGAAGCCACCTTCCTTTCTATTATTTCACGACCTAATTTTGGTCCTCCACTTAAAGATAGAATATTTGCTTGAGCATGCCATTAAAGAGGGCCAGAAAAAGGGATCCCCAGAGGAGGATTTTGTTTCCCTGTATCTGCTGTTAACTCCATCCATGATAGAAGACCCATGTCTTTTATATTTAGGGGTTAAGTGTCTAATATAAAATCATAAGACATATGTTCCATTGTAAAGTAAATTAAAAAAGCTAAAGAATAATAGCAATGGTTTTAAAACTGGTAAAATCTAACACCCTTAGTTTTGAGCTAGGACTTCTTCTAAATGTTTTCAATGCATTACCCAGTTGAATCCTTACCACAATCCTTACAACATTTCCTTACAGAGTTACAGTTAACAGCTAGATCAAGGTATCACATTTAGAACATGACAAAGTCCACTTGTGAGCTTTTATTCACTATAATAGGAAGTGACCCAGCATAATCAAGTTTTGTTTGAATGTCCCAGGGCTTGAGAGATACAGAGAGAAAGGAATCAAGAAATATAACCCACCTCCTAAAATAAACAAACAAACACGCCCTGAAAGCTGGGAGGGATAGAAAAAGAGTTGTGGGGAGAGGATCTAAGGGAGCAATCAAAGAACAGGAGACAAGAAAGAGACATTAGAGAGGAGATGCAGTATCAGAAATACAGGCTTAGGAGATGAAAGAAGGTGCTAGCAAGTGGGAAATAGTAGAGGTGGCTGGAATGGATATGCCCAAATTCATTGTCCAGAGTAGATGCTGGTTGACTCTGCTTTCTTTGAAGACTGGACTAGCACACATTATATGCTGCATTAAATATTGCATTAAAATATTGGCCTTAAATAAAACTCTGCAAGCTTAGACCCAAGAAATTTGGGGGAGAGAGAATTAATGGAATACAATAACTAGAAGATAATTTTCTGAGAAAACACATTATTTTAACAATTTTTTTTTTTTAATTATATCTCCTCCGTACTCAAAGGGCAAATTATTGAAAATGCACCTTATAACTACAACATGACAACCAGGAATCTGCTCTGTCCAAACAGATATGGTATCCATCAAGAGTCACAGGCAAAATCCCTAACTAGGTTTTCTGAGGTTCTCCTCTCTAGCCACACAGCTGAGTACACCTACCTTGTACGATAAGGTGGACCCGTGAGGTCTTTGGGTGGTTATCTGTCTGCACAGAGCAGGTGTAAGGGCCCTCATCATACACATCCACATTTTGGATCTCGATGCTGTACTGGGTCTGGGTGTTACTCAGCAGGACCACACGGGGGTCCAAACACCACTTGTCATTCCCAGCATACAGGATTGTGCTTCGGTTTAGCCAGGCCACCCGGGTGACTCGGTTGTCAATTGTGCACCTGTAGGGAAGACAAGACAGACAGGTCAAGAGAATAGAGACAATATGGGAGCCATTAGGTTGGGATTTTCTTGGTAAGTCTAGAATGTCTTGTTATCATACACTGTCTTCCTTCTTGCCCCACTGCCATGAAACCAAAAAGTAGTTGTCATAGAATCCATTATGACACAGTGTTGACCTCAGGTATATCAGAGTAGTGTGTGGGTGGGGGGTGGGGGGGTAGAGATAGAGTCTCCACTGAATAACTTCCACCTTGTCTAGATGGGTCTGGTAAAAGAGATGGTGATAAGATTCTTAGGATGCAATAGTGAGTAATTGTTATCATGACTAATTGCAACTATCACCATTGTAAAGGAGGTAGAAGTTGTGTAGCAAAAACAGGGGAGTAGTTAATCTTACAGTCCAGAAGCAGAGGACCCTGGGACCATCAAGGGAGAAGTGCACAGTGGAATGTGGGACACTATCCAGAGAAGCAGCAACACCAGAGATGGAGGCAGAGATGGGGACATGGAGAGAGGGAGCAGCTGAGGACTCTAGATTCATGGAAAGAGAGGGAATTAGAGCTGGTGACCAGGAGGCAGACTTGCAGAATGTGCCCTTTGGTGGTGTAAATTACTGTTTATGCCTGAGTGTTTAAAAAAAAGAGAGCTAAAATGAATAGAGAGAAATACTGTTAACTAATGGTACATGGACGGGATTATAACTATTGTAATGAAACAAAGAATATGATTTGTTGAATGTAAAACTGATGATTTACCCTGTAAACTTTCCCTCATTTCACAATAAAAACTTAAAAACACTATCACTTCTGTTTATCTTCATTATACCTTAAAAACTTAAAAACTACTATCACTTCTGTTTATCTTCATTATACCTAGCAGCAAAAATGTCCAATTACTGCTAAACTAAATGTATTTTCCAAAATCATCATCATCAAACTGTCCCTATAAAAGTAGATTTTTTTTTTTCTTTTACTTTGGCCTCTGGGTTCACCAAATTCTGTAAGCTCGCTTCGGTTTTCTTGCACTTTCAAATTGCCCAGCTACTCTTCCCAAGTCATCATCATATCTCTCTGCCTATATTCATTTCCCTCGTTCATGACACCAAGTTTGTTCTATGGCTTTAGGCTAAATTCACAAACACTGTTTCAGTGTCCTGATCTTGACTATAATGTTGGATATCATAACGTAATACATTGAATGCATAATGACACTTCACATTTATACATTCTTTTTCAGTGTACACAGCACTTTTATATTCACACTGTCTCGTTTGGTCCTTATAACAAATTTGTGCTGTTATCCATTTTTGCTTTTAAGGAGCAGGACTACAGGGTTTGGCGTGATGCTATGGAATCAGCACTGGACTATGAATCACAAGGATGACAGTTCAAATCCACCATCTTCTTCTTGGAAATCCTATGCAGGTTCACTGTGAGTCAGAACTAACTCATGGCACATAACAACAACAACAACAGGTGGTTTTCCCAAGGAACAGTTAGGAAGTAATGGAATGGAACCTCTCATCCAGGTCCTCTAGTTTCTCTGATACACTCCTCAGAATGTACAAAGGTGCATTTTTCAGTGACGACAGACAATGGCTTCCAGTGGAGTCTCAGAAAGGTCTGTGACCATCCGAAGTATGAGCAGAGCCGCTGAGCATACTGTTTCCCTGCACAGCCTCACTCAAGAAGTAGCATCCTGTGTGGTGCATCCTTCCATCTGCACTTGTATAAATGTCAGACAATCATTACAGGCCACTCAGGCACAGGTGGGAAACATCCCTCAAGGCTCTTGTGAGGAAAACTGATGAACTAGAGATACCTCTAGCCTGGCATCCAGTAAGTTTTGTGCTGTTCATTGTATAATCACAAAAATCTTACGAGGGTTCACTTATCACTAAATTACATGGCATGAATTGAAGCTAAGCAGCATTATGTAAATTTAGATTACATCATAGGATATTAAGCTCCAGAACCAGGATTCATAATCAGTTTTGTCAGATCCCTAAATCAGTGTTCTGGACTGTCTTTGTAACCAAACCAATCCCATTGCCCTCCAGTTAATTCTGACTTATAATGACTCTATAGGACAGTATTGAACTACCCCTAAGCGTTTCCAAGGCTCCAATCTTTACAGAAGTAGACTGTAACATCTTTTTTCCATGGAAAGATTGATGTTGTTGTTAAGTGCCATCAAGTCGGTTCCAACACATAGCGACCCTGTACAGGGTTTCCAAGGAGGAACTGGTGAGTTTGAACTCACCTTGCAGTCTAGCACAATATTCTGCAGTGCCACAACTGACCTTTTGGTTAGAAGCTGAGTGCTTTTAACCACTGAGCTGCCAGGGCTCCCTGCTGTTTCTATTAACCCAAATTGACTGCTATAGAGTGGACTTCAGCTGGTAGAAGACAAAGAAGAATGGCTCCGTCGGGATCCCAAGGCTATAAATCTTAGCCCACTGCATCACCAGGGCTCCTTTACAGTCTTTATAACCCACCTGCTTCCATCAAGTTCATTCCAACTCATAGTGACCCTGTATAGGGTTTCCGAGGCTGTAAATCTTGCTGGGAGCAGAATGCCTCATCTTTTTCCCCATGGAGCAGCAGGCGGGTTCGAACCCCCAACCTCACAGCAATTGATTTCTTATTCTACAGTACCCCCATGGCTTTTTTCACAGTATCTACAACAGTTTCCCAGAATAGCATTTGGAGTTTGTTGTTAAATGTTGTCGAGTTGGTTCCGACTCATAGTGACCCTGTATAGAGTTTCCAAGGGGTGGCTGGTGAATTTGAACTGCAAACCTTGTGGTTCAAACTGACCTTGAGGTCAAGTCCTTATCCTATTGCACCACACCAGGACTCCAGCATTTGGAGTTGTTGTTGTTGTTGTTGTTAAGTTCCATCGAGTCGGTTCCAACCCATAGCAACCCTGTATAGGGTTTCCAAGGAGCAGCTAGTGAGCTTGAACCACCATGATTCTCAAATTCAACATGCATTGGAATCACCTGGAAGACTTGTTAAAACAGATACCTCTAAATCCCTACCCCTATTGTCTCCAATTCAGTAGGCTTTGGGCAACGAACAAAAGTGAGCATTTCTGACAGATTATCAAGTGCTGCTGATTCCACTGGTCTGAGACCTCACCACTTTAGGCATCAGTTTCTGGTGGGGTGAGAGCAACCGACTGAATGGACACTAGGGAATGACGTTTGTTTGAAACAGTTTCCCACTACTTAATACAAGACAACTTTTTTTGTAGCCAGTATATTCCTTTTCTTTTCTCTACCAGTAGAAGTTGGACCAGATACCAGGTGAATGGTTACAGTGTAGGAAAAAGTGGTGAACAAATGCTAAACTGCTTGAATAATTGGTTTTGATGCCCACATTGGGGATATAACACAACCTAATGATGAATGTAAGAGGACTGTCCTGGGTTTCCTTGGGACTATTTAATTATTGAAAACTGACTGAACCTGAATCTGTGTTACCAAACTGTGCAGCAGTTTAAGGGCCAAGAACAGCCATATACAGACACTTTAACACACTGAATGCAGCCAATTTCCACATGGTTATATGGCCCCTGTGATATACTACACAGGAAATTTGGCATGTCTTCAGCTGTGGTTTTGGGTACATTCAAGGTCATGTTTATATGTCCAAACTGTCACTGCTGGTTATCAGTCTTGCTGAGTCTCTATGGAATTAATACTGACTACTGCAGAGATGAATCGGGAAGGTAGCTTGGCAGCCAAATCCTGTCACCTCCTCTTGCCTGCCCCCATCTATCTGCCTCATTTATCCAGTCTCCATAACAGTACAAAGGACAAGTTTCTTCCAAGTTTAAAGAAAAAAAAAAAAGCATATTGCTTTCTCAGCTAGAGCAAATAAATGTGCTTGTTGGTAGGAGTGGTCAGGAAGGCCACAGTCTCCCTCTTCTTTGACATAACACATAGAGTAGATCTACAAAATGACTCCTAAGCACACAATGGCCTTCCACCTCCTCAGAAAGCTGCTCAGCTGTCAGTAAGTAAGATTTCAAACTCAACCATCATTGCCTAATCCAGGTAAATGTGGTTAGAGATGGCCTTTGTCAGTGACTGGAGACACAATCACAGGTTAGCATAATGCAAGCCAGAAAATTGGTGGGAAGACAAAAAAGGTGGAAATCAACAGAAACCTTGATGGTCTCTCACCCTTACCACACACAAGCTTGAAATATACCAACCTCCCACCCCCAAAACACCCCTTCTGTTCATCTTGCTTCATAACTAAGGAACAGAGAGACAAGTTTTGTACACCTAAGGGTTCTGGATTGAGTTTTGAAACTGCCAACTATCCAAATTCCACGGAGTTCACAACTGAGAATTCTCTCTTCACCAGCCTTGATGTTGACTTCAGTTTTCTTCCCATAGCCTAGGCCTCCACTCCTCAGTGTTTTTATGAATGTCTCTTCCACCCCAACTCTCTTCCTCCCCTCCCGTGTGGAGTCCCACGGACAGACCATGGTCTAACTGATCTAACATCTTGGGCAGAATCTAGTCAGACAGAAAGAAAACCAACAAGAACATTTTATTTACCACTGCAGTGCTGAATCACAATAATTTTAGTCTCTGTGCATAACACCTTGTGCCTTTCTTTGCAGAAGTGTTTTTTTTGTTTGTTTGTTTGTTTGTTTGTTTTTTTTAAGTGTTTTATTGTGAATTATATGATAGTTTACATGAGAGAACTTTAGTTTACACTCATTCCATCGTATATCATTTCATTGCCATGGTTCCAATCCCCTCCATGCGTCATCTACTGACCAAAAGGTATATCCTAGAAACCTTCCCCCTACACTTCCCCCTCTCCCCCTAGTCTTCGGCCCCCAGTCCCTCTCCCTCTCTAGAAGTGTTTTTTTCATAGACAATAGATTGGTCTATTTGAGTACAGATTATCATAGACTGTCATTGAATTCTCTTTGATGATGAAAATCCCATTGTTTGGCTGGTCAGAAGAGGATC